ATTTAGAAGGGCTTTAAGAATTCACTGAGATCTTAGTAGAGGATGGACTAATTTGAACTTAATGACAGAAGAGGCCACTTGTGTCTCCTAAAGAGAATTTTCTACTTAAAATAATGAGTCTGGAATTTCCTATGGCTGTTTTTGTTCCTAGAATGCAGAAAACCAAATTGCTCAGCAGTCTATGGCTACATTTAGCATCCCTGAGTCCTTCTCAGGGCACAGTGTTAAGCAATCCTGGTTGATGTTGGAAACAATAAAGCAAAATAGAAGCCAGTCTCTCAGTGTGAAAATTCATTGAAAGGACTTAAAGTATCAGTTAAATTCCTTTGTTAGTTATGTTAGCTATCAATGGATGGAAAAGATGAACAATGCACAAAATGTAAAGAAAAAAAAAACAATTGTGGAAAAAATAGGGTAGGAAAACATTTCTGGATAGAATTGCCTTTACTCATTGACAAATGGACAAAGCAAAAATGCAAGCTTAGGATTTAAACTTTCACAATGAGTTTTTAACTATGGCTCATCGGAGATAACCTATATATCCTTAAGGGAAGGCAGGGCAGTAAGAGGGGAGAGGTCTATAGTTTTGCTCTTCACCATTTACTTCAGATCCAGCCCTGTGCCTCATATTAAACTTGAGAGGAAAATGTCTTCTTGCAAATAAACCCTTTTAGGTGAAAATCTAAGATTGCTTGTTTCCACTAGAAGGTACAGTGGGATCAGTGGGATATGTAGATTTTCTACTAAATAATAAAGTGAGCCAGCTGATTAGTAGTTAGAAGTTGTTGTAGGCCTGCCGAATGGTACACAGAAGCTAGGAGCTAGGCAGACAATGGCAGAAAAGTTTAATTACAATTCTGCCAGAGAGATAGGAGATGAAGACTGGCAGAGGTCCCAGCATTTTTTTTTTAAATGGCAGGCAAGAGAATTGTACATAAATAATAAAATACATAGGAGAGTCCTGGCCATGTTCTCAGTGGTTAGAGCATCAGCCTGCAAACTGGAGGGTTATGGTACGATTCCCCAACAAGTGCACATACCTGGGTTGCAAGTTTGATCCCCAGCCCTGGTTGTGGTGCGTGCAAGAGGCAACCAATTGATGTGCCTCTCTCACATCAATATTTCTCTTTCTTTCTCTCTCTCTAACCCTCCCTCAGTCCCTCCCTTCCACTCTCTCTAAAAATCAAAGGAAAAAATATCCTTGTGTGAGGATTAATAGAAAAAGGAAAAAATACATACAGGAAAACATAGGTACTAAACTTATGGACCTTGGTCTCAGAGAGGTTTATGTGAACTTGCTCCTAAAGGCAAGGAAAGTAAAAGCAAAAATAAATGAATGGGACTACATCAAAGTAAAAAGCTTCTACACAGCAAAAGAAATCATCAACGAAACATAAAGGCAACCAACTGAGTGGGAGAAGATATTTGCAAACGATACCTCCAATAAAGGTCTAATATCCAAAATATATAAAGAACTCATACAACTCAACACCACCACCAAAAACAAACCAATTAAAAAATGGGCAGAGAACCAGAAAGACACTCTTCCCATGAAGACATACAGATGACCAACAGATATATTTTAAAATGCTCAACTTCACTAACTATAAGGGAAACACAAATCAAAACCACGAGATATTTTAACTCACACTTATTAGAATGGCTATTATCAATAAGACAAGAAATAAGTGTTGGAGAGGCTGTAGAGAAAAAGGAACCTTATACACGGCTGGTGGCAATGTAAATTGGTACAGCCATTATGGAAAACAGTATGGAGGTTCCTCAAAAAAAAAAAAAAAAAAAGAAGAATAAAGTTACCATATGACTCAGCAACCCCTCTTCTGAATATCTACCCTCAAAATTTGAAAATATTTATTTGTAAAGCTATACACTGAGTGGCCAGATTATTATGACCACCCCATCAGTACAACGAAGTGAATTAGTTATGCAAGTAATAATAATAAAACCTTGAGAGTATTTGCTTAGGAAGTTTTCAATATTCAGTAATTTTGGAAGTGTCAATGAAGTACTGATGGGGTGGTCATAATAATCTGGCCGGTTATAATAATCTGGCCACTCAGTGTAGGATATGTACCCCTATGTTCACTGCAGCATTATTCATGGTAGGCAACACATGGAAACAACCTAATCAACCAATCCTCGATGGATAATGGATATGAAGCTGTGGTACATATATAAAATGGAATACGACTCAGCCATAGAAAGGATGAAGCACTGCCACTTGGGACAACATAGATGGATCCTGAACTCTCAAGTACTAGTATCATGCTAAGTGAAATAAGTCACATTGAAAAGGATAAGAACAATATGATTTCACTCATAGGTGGGATATAAAACAGAAAGCAATAAACTCATAGACACAGACAACAGTATGGTGTTACCAGAGGGGAAGGTGGGCAGAGGAAAGATGGTCAAATATAAGGTGACAGAAAGGACTAGACTTTGGGTGGTGAGCACACAATGCAATGCATAGAAGGTGTATTATAGAATTGTATACCTGAAAATTTATATAATGTATTGACCAATGGTTACCCCAATAAATTTAATTTTAGTAAGCAGTGTTCACAGAAGAGTTTATAGGATAAGTGGATCCCTGAGGAATGGTTCTGAAAATGAATACAAAATTTAAATCTTATCAGCAAAAATATATTGGCCTAGACTGTGATGAGGATAGGTAGATTGATGAATTTGATTTAAATGAATTCTATTCATTTGGTTAAATGAATTTAAATGTTGGTAAAGATTAAAATTTTAATTTAAATGCCAGTCTGAGAAGTATAGGATTAAAGGAAGATTGAGATTTACATATGATGACCAGATTAAAAAAAAAAGGGAAGCCAGCAGCAGAAAGCAACTAATGTCAACCCAGGAAAGCACATGGATCTTTTTTTTGCAATCTGTACTCAGGTTAAAAAAAAAAAAAAAAAGAGGCATTAGATAAGAAAAACTGCTTTATGTGTAACAAATCCCTTGGAAGCTCAATGGAATTACAGATTTCTTACTTTAAATCGAATCCATATTGTAATTTTTTGACCTAAAAGAGGCAGCTGGTTTTACCCCTATTTTGTTGGTTAAAAAATTAGCTTTTGTTTCTTAAAGCAAAAAAAGGAACTGTCTCAACCACCTTAGGAAAAGCTGAGGTGGTTGAGACAGTTCCTTCTTTCTCTTTTAAAATTCTCCTAAAGGGGCCTGGCCAGAGTGGCTCAGTGGTTAACATACAACGTATGAACCAGGAGGTCGCAATTCTATTCCTGGTCGGGGCACATGCCTGGGTTGGGGGCTCGATCCCCAGTGTGGGGAGTGCAGGAGGCAGCCAATCAATGATCCTCTCTCATCATTGATGTTTCTGTCTCTCCTTCTCCTTTCCTCTCTGAAATCAATAAAAATATATTTTAAAAAAATTCTTCCAAAGGGATGCAGTCAGCTGCAGGAAGAGAACATTGGGGTTGGTAACATGCTCATCAAAGCTCCTGTTTCAAATAGTGTCAGTATGATGTTTATAACAAATCTTTTCTTGTTCGTGGAGCAAATTGGTTGTTGGGGGAACTGCCTTACCTTAAGAGGCCAATCCAAGAAAAGATCTCTGTCCCTACACTGGTTAGAGGAATCCAGGCAGTAGCCAAGGAAACAATGAGTCAGGCCTGGAGGAAGGGGACCGCACAAGTCCTTGGTGAGAAAAATCTATAGTAACTGAAAGGTACTTTGTGAACCTCTAGGTCTCAGAGGGCTGTAGACAGGTTAGATAAACCCCTTGAGTTGTTGACAGAAAAAAAGTATAATGGAAACTAGAGATGTCAGAATGTTGAAGACTTAGAGAGAACCTCAAACTAAGTTGGGAAATAACTTCCTGAGTTTATTCATCATAAAAAGAGAACAAAAATGGTGACAAAGTAGACAAAATCACCTTGCAACCCTGATTAAAATGTTATGAATTTAATTAAGTGAAAAGCTTCGGAAACATGAAGGACTTGAATTACACATTAGTTTTCAGATTTCCTGGAATTCCAATAAAATATTCAAATTTTAGATGTTTAAAGGACATGCTTACATGAGATACAAATGCTACGCAGATAATATGAAACTTTGATCTTTTACCTTTACCTGCTATGATACAGGAGAGTAAAAATAATACTAAACAAATGAAAAATAAACCACAAACATTGTTTTTCAGATATTATAGGAGGAAAATAATTTCAAGGGCCCTCATTTAGAATATATTCTACTAAAGTATTTAATTGTATTTAAATTTGAAGCAAATATATTTTAAAAGTCTACTTTGCAAATAACAATCAAGAACTTATCATTTCACCCAATTTTCATGCCAGCTTTCCCTCCTATGTTTACTTTAAACAGCTTTACTTGCTTATTTGGGCAGAGGGCTACTTGCCAAGTCAGAAAATGTGCCTTCCACAAATTAGCTGTTACAAATCAAATGGTTGAAACATTATGCCTGGATGTTTAGAGGTAGAACATTATTTTGCCACCAAAAAGTTCTCTATCCTTGTACATTCTGGACTCATATTTACATGAGTGAATGAGATTGTGGCACAAGTGTGTTCTTTTTTAAAATTACATCTAAATCGACTCTGATGGCAAAGCCTTAAAGTGCTGCAAATTACGATGACTGGCTTCAGTATAGTTTTGTTCACTTCAAGAATAGGGACAGCCACACTTTTGTTCAACAATTCAGAAATCGTTACCTTCTCTTCAAATGTGTAGTTATCTCCAAAGAAGCGTGGAGAAAGGTAAGCATGGAAATAAAACCCGACTTCTGTTACTGAACATTTCCCTTATGTGACTTTCAGGAGAAAACGCTCAAAAACAACTTTGAAGGGATTCAGTTCTCACGTATCCACATAGTGTTTTCAGGACATCGTATTTTCAATATTGCTACAAAATATGTTGTTAAGCAAAACTGTTACAAAGTTTCATGACATAATTTCCCATTAATTATTTCATTTTGTTTTGTGTATTTGCAGGCAACTCAAATAGGAAAATCAAAACCCCCAATTCAAACGCAGCATCAAATTCAACAAATGAAACAATCTATGAAGCTGATGATGTAATTGAGGAAAAAACAATGGATACAACACAAATCAACATCGTGTATTATTAAAAATCCTGTGTTATAAAAGCTCACAGGAGAGATGGAACAGTAAAAATAAAGTGCATTTTAAATAGTTTGTAATAATACTTTTAAAAACTTCACCACTCACAAAGCAAAACATAGCTGCATTTTTATCAATCCTTTTATTAAACACCCATTAAGGATTTAATAGATTTTCATGTACATAAGTTTACTTTTACTTGCTAATTAAAATGTACATTATACAAAATTATGCTAATACTTTAGGCAAAGTTAAATAATTTATCAATTAGCAGATAAGCAAGCCTATCTCAGTGAGAAACAATGAGACATATTACCAGAATTTCACGACTTTTTGGTACTTAGAGGCAGTTATTTTTTAAAAGCAATGGTACAGATAGGTAGATTTTGGGAGAATGGTCTTATAAACTAGAGGTGGAATGCTCTTAAGTCTCTTAAAAGTCAACCCATGCCTTTTTTTAGAGGATTTGCTGGCACACTCACAATATATTTATTGCCTTTATAAAAGCTAACATTCAAAACCAAAATATATTACAATGTATAATCTGCATAATACATGTTTTCTGCATACTGAAGGATAACCATGACAAAAGTCCTCACTGAGAAAGTTCCTGGATCTACCTAATGCCACTGAGACAGCTACAAATAAACTACAGTTTCTGCAAATTATAATTGTCTTAAAAGATTTTTTTTCCCTTAAGTGATATTTCTATTACAAGAACACAGACTAGGTTTTATAATAGAATTCAAAAGGAAAAAGGAATCATTTTAAGCTGGCTCTGCCGAACACATACATCTCTGTGTTGCATAAAGTCTGCAGTTGGAAGACTAGTCTTCTTCAAAAGTGGTGAATATAGCTTCTGTGTTCTGATAGGAAAAAAAAATGCTTTATTGCTCTCAGGGATAGAACTTTTGATCATTAGGTGTCCAAAATTTCTACCAAGAACTGGGGGTATCGTCTAAACGAGTGCTGTGCAGTGGAAGTTTCTGAGAAGATGGGAATGTCCTTTCTCTATGTGCATGTTCTCCACACTGTGGCTACTGAGCACTTGAAATGTGACCAATGCAACGGAATACATTTTTATTTTTTTAATTAATTTAAATTTAAATAGCCACATGTGGTTATACTGACATCATAGTTCCAGATGTAACGTCTACTGCCTGTTATATTTTACATTTCAAAAAAGTGCAATTTTGTCAGTGTTTAGATATTAAGATTGCTTAGAGTGCATGGGAAGTTTGGAAGTTAAAACACTACATTACAAAAATTTTCATGTGGTCACAAAAGCCAAGAATTTTCATTTCTTTTTGTGAAAACATGTATAGCATTTGTGGTACTTCTTGATCTTTTAGCTAGCTTGATTTAAAAAAATTCCAGAAAGTCAGCTATCTTAATGCACACGTTAATAATTATATTACTAATTAGATGTTGCCTCTGGTGAAAATAAACGTAGGTTTAGTTAAGGCACTGGTACAGTTCTACTTTTCTGCTCAAGGGGAAGGACACAGGCCATAAATGACATAAGAAGTAGGAAACTTAAGATTGAGGGTCTGCAAAATGCTCATGGTCCCAACTCCTGACCTGTGGGACAGGCATGGTATGGGCGTGGCTGGATGCCTCATGGGTGTGCTCTGGGAGACACATCCCAGTCTCGGGCACTGCATATTTTTTAAAATATATTTTACTGATTTTTTACAGAGAGGAAGGGAGAGGGATAGAGAGTTAGAAATATCGATGAGAGAGAAACATCCATCAGCTGCCTCCTGCACACTCCCCGCTGGGGATGTGCCCGCAACCAAGGTACATGCCCTTGACCGGAATCGAACCTGGGACCCCTGAGTCCACAGGCTGACGCTCTATCCACTCAGCCAAACAGGTTAGGGCAACACTGCATATTTTTAGAGGAGTTGGGAGAAGACAAATGAGGTCAGAAGACCCTGAGCTTCACAAGTGGGATTAGCGTTATGCAGGCCTAAGAAACCAGTTCTTGAATGCTGGCTGCCCAAGAGGCTTGAATCCCAGCACTAGGACCAGGTGGAGTTCCTGAAGAATTCCCTGTCTAGCCAGGTAACCTGAGGGGGCGCCACAGGGCTCATCCAGTGAACCAACAGGTTGTCTCTGTCACTTGGAAGCAGTTGTGCTTCATAGATTGAGACAAAATATTGAAAGCAAGAAGCCTTACAGACAACAGTGTGGTGATGGCCAGAGGGAAAGGTTGGAGGTATCTGGAGGTGGAAAAAGGGGGAGAATGGGAACAGAGAGACTTTGCTTGGGGTGAAGGCCATTTGTTGCAGTGTGATGACGTTTTGTTGTGCTGTACACTTGAAACATGTATGGTTTTGTGAAACAATGTCACATCAATAACTTTTTTTAAAAAAAGCAAGAAGGCTTATCAAATTACAGCACAGCCTGTACATTGAAAAGCACATTTTAAATGATTTATTTGGACATAACAAATACTAACATAGTAACAGAATTTGTCAGTCAAAAATAATCTAAAATAAAATTAAAAACAAAACACATTTCATAGTATGTACATATGCATGTAATTCTGGGGACAGGTCTGATAAAGAATACTGCAACTTTATGTGTGTTTAGGAGACAAGTCGCTGTATGATTTTCAGTAATAAGCAGATCTTAGAAAAGTGGGACTAGAAGAGTATAAATAATAGGACGTAAAGATTCTAATCATTTTTATGTGGCCTTCTAATGAGAGCAATTTCATCTTTTAAAACTGGTGGAATTATGAAATAAATGAAACCAAACCCCAATAAGTCATTTCTTTCCTTAAAATTCTGTCATGGTGCCTCACTGCTTACACATTAGAGTCGAAACTCCCTAAACATGGAACCTAAGACCTCCTCCTTTTGTTCCCGAGAACCTAGATGGGAGTCTGAAATCTTACTTCTTCGGCCTCACAGATTGCTTGTTAATTCTGACACACATACCCCCCAGCCTCCACTGTGGTCTTTGTTCACAGTGCCCACTGGTCAGGCACTACCATAACTGCCACCCTCATCCTCAACCAAAATGCACTTCAAGCACTACTTTCCCTAAGGAGCCTCTTCTAACTTCTCCAGAGCTGGTGAAGTACCCCTATGTTTCTCTAAACCCACGTTCCGGTCAATTACTGCACTAAAGTGCTGTGTTTCTCTTACCAACTGAATGACGAACGTCTTCAGGGAAGCCAATTAGTCTTTTTAATCTGTGTATTCCCAGTGCTTAGTAGAGTGTTTGCTGTGCCAGGCGATGCAATAAATGTTGGTTGAAGAAAGGCCACGATGACATTTTTATGAACACTATTAATAACTCTTCAACCTAGTTTAACTGAAGGTGACCTAGGGTTCTATAATTTGAGAGTGGTAAGTATAGATACATACATTTTGCTCATTTACTGATGTTTTGGCCTCAAAGATCAAAAAGCAGGTGAGTATTAAGTGTGAAGCACTGGGGAGTCCTCTGATGATCCGGAGAAAATAGGGAATTGTGTGGGGAGTGGGTCAACAGATGATCCGGAGAAAATAGGGAATTGTGTGGGGAGTGGGTCCATCACCCCAGAAGCAGTAGCCTCAAGGTGTTCAGATAATGTGATTATTGATACAGGTCTAAACAAAAATTCTGTCTGCATCTAGCAAAAATGGTGCACATTGGATGGTGAGGATGTGAACCAAATATCAATGACCTGCTTGCAAAAGCTAAATGTGCTTAACAGTAGTATTAATAAATTTGACCTTTATCATTGCAGACTGCTACCTGGTCATCTGTAATAATTTCTAAAATGAACAATATCACCTGAATTTTACTAAAATATCAATACTCATACATTAAGGACTGGAAGGGATCTTAGAGATAATTTGGTACAATATTTTATAGATGAAAAACACCAAGGCCCAGAGAAACTAAATGACTCTGCTGAAGGTCACACAGGTAGTTAGAAAGTCCAGGACTTTTTGGATTGTTACTACAAAATTGACTTTTCTGCCTGCTATTACTGCCAGAGAGTAAATTTCATTATTTTTTCCCCTAAAATATACCACTGAGATTTGCATTGAAGACCAATAATAATAGTATCACTTTAGAAGAAAATTACTTTAGTAAAAACAAATTTATTTAATTCAGAGGAGGTGTTTCATAAACTATTCTCATATGATAGAAAATTTACCTAAGAATAATTCCAAGATTGTTTCTGGGGGAAAATAATTACCAAGCATTAAAATCTTTTAATTTGCATACCACAGAGTTAATGAGAGCTGAATTTTATGTAACTCTCTGAACCATTATTAATCATGTCACCATGCAGAAATAAATTTAATGAGCCAAATTATAATCTTTACAATTAACAGAATTAAACTTACGAATAACTAAATTAACTCTATTCACTAAAATTATCATATTAACCACGTTACACACTCAATAGGATGAAACCATTCTTTTGCATATGGCACTTTCCAATAATTTAAATAAGACTTTTTTTTACTTATTTGGTCATTTTGATAGCCAAAGAACTATATTTTCAGAAAATACAGATTTCAAAAATACATAAAATTCAGCAAAGGCAAAACAAGCCCTTAAAAACCTAATAACTCTGTGTTTCTCTCCAAACAACTGACTAAACCTAATTTAAACAAGGTAATTTCTTTTCATGGCCATATGACTAAATTAGGTATGGAAAAGCTGTAAGTGTGAGAGCTTCCATGGCTGTAACGCGATAGGACAGGGATGTGGGTGCAGCATCCCTAGAAGCTGAGCATGGTAAGCAGACGTTAACAGGGGTTGTGAGGCTCCCCAGGCTTACTGAGGTCATGCCAGGTGGGGGGTGCTGGGTGAAGAAAGAATCAGTACACCTGTCCAGCCTGTGAGGATATGTGTACTTACCTGATTTCTCCATTATGAGTTCATCTGTAGCCATGTCTGTAGGTTACCAATTTGAAAACTTAAAACTGCACCGCAGTGAGGTACCTGCAATCTTTGGTGCTGTGCATTGGTAATGGATTGACTCCTGATGCTGCTACAATAAAAGTATTTAAGTTATTGGGCATAAGGGATACCCGAATGTTAAGTAAAGTAACTAACACTGATCACTGTGACATTTAAAATGTAAGAAACACTTATATCTACTAATATTGTTTGAAAATGCTTACCCATATAAAATTTCCATTGTTATATAAAGACTTTCATGATGCAACTCCCTGGCTCTTAAATTTTAAAAAGTACAGAATAAAATTCTTAATCCTAAATTTTTATCACTGCTCCTGAGGTTTATGACTGAAGTAAAAGAAACACCCCAAACTGGTCATTTATGAAAGCATTAATTTGGTGTGAAACCTGCTTCAAAACTACAAATTATTTCAGACAAATAAATATATATGTTCACATTTATAAAAATTTTCCACATTACCCATAGAAACAAGTTTCATAAAATTTACATACGGAATACAATAAAAATCAGCTCTAATGAAGATTTCATTGTCATCTCCTAAATAAAGAGTTCTGTTCTTGAGGTATCACTCTGAGACATGCCAATATGGCACATTTGTAAAACAACCCAGGAGTCTATTCTAAAAATCCTGCCCAACACAACATTATCTCTATGAGACTAATAGGCTGAACTAGGCTTGTGTTTTTAAACAGGAAGAAATATTTTAATAGTTACAAAAATAAGGAGGCAGGTACTAGAAATGCTGCATGTCATAACACAATGAAACTTTGTTATAAATATTTTCATTATCCTTTTCCATTCATTTAAAAAGTTCTAGTCAAGACCAATAAATCAGCTTCATCTTCTATGACATCCAAAAAAAACAGAGATTAAAAAACAACAGTGAAGAATATTACTATCTTCATACATTATCATAGGATATAAAAAGCTATTAAATTCATCAGTGTCAAGAGCAAAGCATTATCCCCTATCTCACTGGAAGGTAGACACTTGATTCGGCAATACTCATTAACTGCCAGGTAGATTACCTGTGTTGACCATAGTACAATCAACTTATGAAGTAAAAATACTAGTCAAACGTACAGAGACACGAATACCAAAAATGATGTGTTTGTATGTACAGATATCCATATTGGGGCACACCTATCAAGTAATAAGACTGATTCATATGTTATAATCATAGTACATTAAAAATATATTGCCAGAGGATAATGGTCTCATATGTGAAAAAAATGTCCATATGAACAAGCCCGTGATTTATTGCAAAGCATAATTATATAGCAAATTCCAAGGAAGGTGAAATGATTTTCAAAACCAAAATTTTAAATTTAGTGGCTTAAAGCCACAGTCTGTTATTTTTTGGAGATTTCAGAAATAGTAGGGGTGGAGGAATGCTTTTCCTTTTTTCTCTTCTTTTTTTCCTTTTTGTGATGTTTCCCCTTTTTTGACTTATTCTTTTTTTCTTTTTTCTTTTCTTTCTTCTGATATTTTTGTTTCTTTGGTTTTGAGGTGTCCTCTTCAGCAGAACTGGATGAATAAGACCTATGGGCAATAATGTATACTGACTGATAACTGCATTCATAGCTGATAGGTAAATTTAAATGGGATTTTATCTGCCTTAAATCCTTCTTGGAGCAAGGAGGGAGTATAAACAAAGAACTCAAAATGTGCTGTATATATTTGGATTCTCTTAAAATGCTGAATTTAGAAGTTTTACTACTTGGTCACTGAAACTGACAAAACAAATATCTCTATTCTGCTCAACTCTAGTTATATAAGTTTCATATCCTTTATAATAAAAGCCTAATATGCTAAGTGTCTGGTCGTCTGGTTGGCTGTTCAACCAATCAAAGCGTAATATGCTAATGATATGCTAAGGTCGCTCAACCGCTCGCTATGACATGCCCTGACCATCAGGGGGCAGACAGTCAACTGGTCGACCAGTCGCTATGATGTGCACAGATCACCAGGGGGCAACAGTCGACTGGTAGACTAGTCGCTCTGATGTGCTCTGACCACGAAGGGGCAGATGCTCTGACTGGTAGGTTAGCTTGCTGCCTGGGTCTGGCTGATCAGGACTTAGCGAGTTGGGCCGGACATGCCCTGGAGCCCTCCATGGTCACTCCCTGGCTGGCCAACCTCCTGCATCCCTCCCTGGTCCCGATTGTGCACTAGTGGAGTCCCTTGGCCTGGCCTGTGCCCTCTTGCAATCTGGGACCCATTGGGGGATGTCAGAGAGCCGGTTTTGGCCCGATCTCGCAGGCCAGGCCAAGGGACCCCACTGGTGCATGAATTTGTGCACCAGACCTTTAGTAGTTATATATAGTTTTATATAGTTACATAGTTACAGTTTTATACAGTTATAAAAATTATAAATTTGGTGAGGATGAAAACTATTTTTCTGATTTTCAGTTTTTCATCCTATTGTACCCTTCAAAATTTTATAAGGCAAAGTTGCATTTACCAAGCCTTATTATATACACTAGAGGCTCAGTGCACAAAACTTGCGCGCAGCTGCGATCCCTAGGCCTGGCCAGCGATCGAAGCGCAAGCATTTAGTGTGGAAGGGCAGGTCCCAGCTGACCTCTGGGCTGTGGGCAGCACCTGGGCCCCCACACTCCCACACGTCACCCCTCTGCCTGAGTCACTGAACCCCCGCCACTGCCTCTGGTTGCTGCCTGTGGGGCAATTGGTGAGGTGATCGGGCCTCCGCCTGGCTCCCTCAGTGCCTGGGAGCCGGGTGTCGGCCCCGACCCCCACCCCCACTGCTGCCACTGGTCGCCATCTGCGGGGTGATTGGCGGGGCAATTGGGCCCTGCTCGCACCTGCCTTGGCCTGGCACCGCCCACTCATCTGCTCCACCATCCGGCCACAGTGCTGCTCTCTTTGGGGCCCATTGGGGCTGGCAGTGCCTCCATTGCTGCCCATTGTCAGTGCTGAATCGCTGACGCCCACCATATTCCACACCGCCCCCTGGTGGTCAGTACATGTCATAGCAAGTGGTCGAACTCCCAGTAGAGGGGACAATTTGCATATTAGGCTTTTATTATATAGGATAACTCACTTGTATTGCAATAACTTGTTAGCATATTCCATCAATCTTCAACCTTTTTCATCTCATGGCAAAAATACTAATTAGTAAAATTCTGCAGCACACCAAAAATATATATTACTTTTGCCGATCTGACAAAAAAAAAAAATAGGTATAATTTTGATTCATTCACACCAGATGGCTATTGCTGTGTTGACTGTTGTCATTTTTTTAATTGACAATGTAAGGAAAAAAAGGTCAGTGCCTCTGACTATATAGTCAGGTGTTGCATGTTTTAAAAATTCTGTGGCACTCCAGTTGAAAATTGCTGGCATATTCTTTTAAAAGAGCCACAAAGTAATGCGATTATATAAAAAGGGTTATAATTATATAACTCAGTATAAATGGGTAAAAGCTGAAAATTAGCAAAATAAAAGCACTTTTGTTCTTTCTCTTTTTTCTCCCTTTATTTTATTATTTCTTTTCCATTACCATTTATCCCTCATATACCCTCCTCCACTTCCACCCACTCATGTCCCCCCAGCAGTCATTGCACTGTTGTCCATGTTCATGAGTTCTTTCTTTTTCTTTTTGCTCAATCCCTTCAGTGCTAATTCTTTTGATTTTTTTCAAGTTAAAGTACTTGATTTCTCTAGATGCAGAGTGATAACAGATACACATTTGTTTTTCAAAATAATTTTCACTAGTTACAGAAAAGATGCTTTTAAATGAATATTCTATATAAATTAATTATAATGATTTATTATTATACTTTATTTTTCTAATATTACTGTAATACTAAATTGGGGAAAAAACTATAGAAGTCCTTCCTCTAATATTAAAAAAGAAAAAGAAAACAAAAAGTGGAGAAGCCATCTCTTAAGACCTTCTATGAAGTGTGCAACAACCTACCCTTACCCAAACCCCAAATATGTATGACTATATAGGAACTGCATCAATTTAAAATAGCATCTCAAGAGATAGTTCAGGGATCTAGACATTAGAAGCTAAAACCCAAACTAAAAAAAACTCCAGAGATTCAAAGAGGAGAAAAGTAAACAAATGAGACTACAAGGCTGTTTCTGCAGATTGACTTGTGTGAACTCCCTAACTGCCTGCCTTGTTTAGGGACCAGAAGTTCCTCTGGTTCTGTGAGGTTGTATTCCTTTCTCCTCCTTGTCTACTTACTTAAGACTTCTGGCCATTTCCTGAGCTTATTTACATGCATTCTTTTATTTCCTCTTCAACTCTACCATTCTCAACTATTCCCTGTCTTCCTGTTTTAAACAGCCTGCTTGGCCTTTGGATTCTACTGAGAGTTTCTTCTCTGCCTGCACAGTTTTTGTCTTTTTTATTCTGGAATCTCAATTTATTTTATTTTATTTTATTGTTGACACTATTACAGATGTCCCCCTTCTTGGTACAGCAACTCTATTAGGTGGCATTATCTCTGCTAAGGGTGCCTAGAAAAGTTCATATGATTTCAGCTCTGTCTGAGGTTTGTGAGGCCCAATATAGAAAAGCTTGAATAAATAATCTGTTACAATAAAACAAGTTTATTAGATTTGGAAGAAAATAATCTAACTTTCCCTATAAGCAAACCACATTGCTGTGGCAATGCAATAATTCAACAATATACTAGTCAGACTACACAATACACTTGAGGTCTATCTTCCTATTAGTTTTTATATTAAATATTATTATTTTAACTCCTAATAATTATTCCAATTTATAAAATAGCCGAGGTGTAAAAATGTATATATTAAATGCTCTATAAAAACTACAAAATGACAACACCTGATTTGCAGAATCTGCTGTCAAAGCCAAATTATTATTGCCAAGTGCTTTAAAAAATGTCTGTATGAAAAAAAAATGTCTGTATGCATATCTTTGTTCTAGTATTAATGAAACTGTACTCATTAACCATGGAAACAGTTGCTATTTAATTCCTTTAATCTATTTCTTTAACCAGTTAATTGTTTAAAAAATTGCTATAAAAATTCATAGGTGGCTGATGAAGGTTTTGAAAGACTTGAAGGAATTTTTAGCATGACAAGTGAGTATATAAATCCTATTAATAAATTAATATCTAGGCATGGCAATGATATTTTGAAAATACAAATATTTAAGCTCCCACCTCATACAAATGAGGAGGAAATATATATGTGAAGAAGTTAGACTTATATTCCTTTATAAGATTAGCTGATGTTCTAAAACTCAAAATTCTATAATATATAAAAGAAGGGGAAGGGTGTTCTTATTTATATCTTGATTTGCTCCAAGAAGAATATTTAAGGTGGCTAAGTGCTGACTTTATTTTTGATTCCTGAAATGAAGGACTTTTAATATTTCACTAAGACAATTGAGTATCTAACTTCTACTAAGAAAAAAATGTTAAGTAAACTGGATTATACAGGGAAAAAAAATTATAATCCATCCTGGATTCACAGTCCTACTTTAAAAAAATGTTAAAAAATACCTTTTCCTTTTTTTTTTCAACTTGATTTTCTCTTTGCTTTTTGCTTTTTTCTTCTCCTCTTCTTCATTTATTCCTGTGTGTTGAGGGGAAAGAATCAGGTCACTATGGGTCCAAATAATATAGTATGTACACATTTTTAAATTTTGGTTGTTGGTTGATGATTTCACTCGTTAGGATATTGAACTTTTCTTGTAACAATTTCCCCTTTCTTAGTTTTTTTTAAATTGAAGTATAATTGACATAACACTATGTTACCTTCAGGTGTACAACATACTGATTCAATAATTTAATATATTGCAAAACAATCACCACAATAAAGCTAGCTTACATCTGTCACCATATATAATTACAAAAATATTGTTTTTCTTTTGATGAAAACATTTAAGATCTAATCCCTTACCAATTTTCAAAAGTACCATACAGTAATAAACTAGAGTCACTATGCTGTATATTACATCCCCATGATTTACTTATTCTATAACTGGAAATTTGTACCTTTTGACCCCCTTCACCTATTTTGCCCCCACCCCCAGCTCTGCCTCTGGCAATCATCAATCTGTTCACTGTATCTATGACCTTAGCTTTTTTTCTTTATATCACACATACAAGTGAGATTATACTGTATTTGTATTTCTCTCTCTGACTTATTCTGCTTATCATAATGCCTAAATTGATTATTTTTATTATATGCTTTTAATAAAAATTTCAAATACTATTAAGTATATTGAGTAAAAAATTCTAGTATTTTAATGTTAATTCCTATAGCAAATCAATTTTTGATGGGCACCATTCCAGGCCTTAAAAAACAGAATGATACAATCAAGTATAGCTTTAAAATTTTCTTTTACAAACAAAATTGGGATTGTGGGACCCTAGGATCATGGGACAATAACAATAGACTTAATATTTATGCCATTGGTGTTCTAGAAGGAGAGAATACATACTGTTAGGAGAGGGTATAGGGCAGCCATGGGCAAACTACGGCCCGCGGGCCGGATCCGGCCCATTTGAAATGAATAAAACTAAAAAAAAAAAAAAAGACTGTACCCTTTTATGTAATGATGTTTACTTTGAATTTATATTAGTTCACACAAACACTCCATCCATGCTTTTGTTCCGGCCCTCCGGTCCAGTTTAAGAACCCATTGTGGCCCTCGAGTCAAAAAGTTTGCCCACCCCTGGTATAGGGACAGAAAGGAAGGTAAGGTTTCCACATTTTACTTAAACTGGTAAAGTGACAATACAAGTAGACTGATAAATTATGTATATCCAATACCTGGAGTAACCACTAAAAATACTATACAAAATACCACAGAAAAATTTAAAAACACCATGATATATTCAAGGACACTAGATGAATCAACATGGAATTCTAGAAGTGTTCAAGTGACACTAGATAAATCAAAGCACTATAGATAATTCTAAAAAAATGTTCAGGTAACCCTCAGGAAAGCAGGGAAAATAAAACAAAAAATGCAAAACAGAGAGAACAAATAATAAAATGACAATTATCCCTAACATCTAAATAATTACACTAACTTTTAAAAAGGATACCAATTAAAAGAAATTGACAGAGTGGATTGAAAAATATGACCCATATGCATAACATCTATAAGACTTTCACCTACTATATAATAACACTAGTGGCCCGGTGCATGAAATTCGTGCACATTGAATATAAATTAATTAGAAGAAATATTTTAATATAGCTATTCGCCCTTGCTCTATAATAGAAGTGTCAACCAAATTCACGATTGACAATGATAGATGGAAACATATGCATGCGATTGGCGCCAGTGAGAACTTTATATGTATTGAGCATGCACGAGTCAACTTAGCCTTTTATAGATATAGAATAAACTTGCTTAATTAGACCTGCTTTCTGATGTAGCTAAACTTTCTTCAGCCCAGTGAAGCACCCCAACTTCTCTTTCAGGTAATTTTCAGCAATGTAGCAGTAAATATCAACACGAAGATTATTATTATAGATCACACAGGGAGAACAAAGGGTAAAATATTTAACTGCAGCAGTGTTTGACAATATTCTGTGCAGTGAGAAAACCTGAAGTCATTTTCAAGGTCCACCATTTCTTACTTCTTTTCAGTCAGGTCAAGTTTCTAAACTTTTTAAATCTCCATTTTCTGGCTAGTGAAAAGAAAATAGGATTCCACCAAGTCTCCTATCTACCTACTCCAGAACTTCTGTGAGGATCAAATGAGATGAGGCACGGGAAAACACTTCACAGATATTTGGTTACAGTGTGAAATGTTTGCACCTGGCTATAAAACAAGTTGTGTTCCTGGGCTGAAGAAACTGCAAGGAGGCTAGTCGTCATTATGGAGAGGAAGCCAGGTGTTGCTATGTGATGTCATTACCTGACGCCCACAGCTGTGGGCTGCATTTTGCATCATGGCAGCATTGGCTGCGATTTGGTGGGGTGTCCCTCCAGGGTGGTGGCGAGGCCTGTGTCCCACTTGGGGGAAGTCAAGTGTTGCTTTGTTGGCGCCAGGTCCGCAGTGCCATTTCTCTGTAAATGGCCACTGTGCATCATGGCAGTTCCTGTGTTGAGCGTCTGCCCCCTGGTGGTTATTGCGCATCATAGCAACCGGTTAGACGGGTGGAGGGACACTTATTAGCCTTTTATATATAACTAGAGGCCCGGTGCACAAAAATTCGTGCACTGGGAGGGTGGGTCCCTTAGCCCTGCCTGCCCCTTCAACCGGCCCATCAGGGGAAGGCACCGCCCCCATCACCCTCTCACTGCTACTGCCTCTGGCCTCTCTCTGCGGGAGGCAACTGGACCAATCAGGGAAAGGCGACGCCCCCATCACGCCGCCACTGTTGCCACTGCCAGCCACTGCGGCTGCCTAAGCCTCGACCTGGCCCTTGCAGCAGCAGCTGCTGCGGCTTTGTCTGGAAGGACGTCTGGTCCAATTAGCATATTACCCTTTTATTAGCATAGACTAGAGGCTCGGTGCACAAAAATTTTTCTGATTTAATGTCTACTTGTTCCATCAATTATTGAAAAAGGTGTGTTGAAATCTCCAACTATAATTGTGGATTTGTGTATCCACAAAAATTTTCCCTGGGAATTCTATCAGTGGTTTGCTTCATGTATTTTAAATTTTGTTATTAGGTGCCTAAACAATATTTTTATGTTCTCTTGATTAACTAAGCCTTTTATCATTAGGAAAAAAAACTATCTTTATCCATAGTAATATTCTTTTTTTTGAAATCTGCTTGATCTGACATTTAATAGTCACTTTAGCTGTTTCTTGAATAGCTGTCTTTTTTTTTGTAGTTACAATAAGTTCAGAATGATTAATTGTAAAAATGCCCCAACACTTCCCACCAAAAAAGGTTGAGTAACTAAGCAAATAAAAAATATAGGTATGGGAATAATTACCTCATCCATTTAGGAATGATGGATAACTAGCCCACTGACTAGATTATATAGAAAAATTAGTTCTAATAGAAACAAAACAATCCTAGAATTCAATAAATACTTATGCAGAGCCATCTACCCTTAGGAACAACCAGTACTGACAGTAGGATATGAGAATCCAAGCACTGAAGACAAAAGTTTATTTTAGAGAGTTCAGTGTTTCTGTACTACCACTCTTAAAACTATTCCACGTTTATTTATTGAGGTTCTTTCTGAGACAGAATGTCGAAATGTACACAAGCGTAGCAGGGGGAAAAATTTAAGGTTTTGCATAATAATAATTTCTTAGAAAATTATCAACCAACCTTTGGAATACAAAATAGAAGGCAAGAAGATCCTGTGTACTTTACCACTTAAATTTTGTAATGATCAACAACAGTGGGGGTCTCTTATGTAACATGCAGGAGTTGGAGGTTAGGATCCAGTGCTTACGCATATATTTGGGATAGAATGGAAGATCCATCCTAGTAGCACAAGCTGGCTCAGCTACTAGATCTTTGTATTTCCGTCACCAGCTACTTTTAAATACCTGAGTAGGCAGTTCCAAACCTAGACCCATTAATCTAAATTTCTCATTCCCTCTTGTATCTTCCAACTACTTAACAAATATCTTCTAGAGCTGAACCAAATATAGGCTTTACTCCAATTATTGTGTGAATTCATTTAAGCCCTATCTTTACAAAGCTTGAAACCACCGTTGTAAGCCATTCATCTGAATCTGATTTCAGCAGGAAAAGGCGAGAGACAATTATGGCAAAATGCAAATACTTACGTAGTTTTCAGTGTCAACCATCTTTAAATAAAATCAAGTATAAATTTAACATAAAACTCTCTTAAACAAACAAAACAAAACCAAAAAAGGCCCCAAAACCAAAATTTGTCAAAATACATTACTTTTCTGTAGTAAACAAAAGAATATAAAAAATATTAAGGGATGAAATATGAAAGAACTATTTCCTAATACCAGGCAAATTGCTGATTAATATTAAATAACACTAGATTAAACAGAGTATGGAAAATCCATATACTTGAATTTCTTGGATCCTTTGTAAATACTGAAATTCTTTTACCTTGACTTTATATATACTGTAACATAAATAGGTTTTTAGATATTTCTACCATATACAATTCCAAAGTTTCTTCAGGAAGTTCAAAACACAGTGTAAAGTTTTCACAAGCTTCCTGAAGAACTGTAGTGCTACTAGACAACAAGCATGCTCACACTTTGATCCTTGCTATATATTGGTTGAGCTTCCCCTGTTCATAACACCAGTAATATAATTTTCTATGGGGGCACAGGTCCCAGGTTGTTATCGTATAATAGGTAACAATGCTTGTTCCTGTCCATGCTAAGTCCTCCTCTCACATTCTTTAATTGCATCAAAAATTATATTTGTCATTTAGAATTATATTTGTTTTAAATGAAAGATATGAAGATATTAAATGCATTGGAAAATATGCACTATAATAGAAGCAAATATCTACAATAATAAAAGTTTAATATGCTAATTAGACTGGATAGCCAGGCGACCTTCCGGACGAAGCCGGGGCTGCAAGGGCCAAGGCAGCCACTGCAGCTGCGAGGGCCAAGCCCCTTGCACAAATTTCGTGCATCGGGCCTCTAGTATATATCTATAGAGGCAAAATAGAAAATAGAACTTACATAAAAATAAGTTCTGAGTCTTGTTTTTTAGGTGACATTTCTCTCTCTATTCCCTTTCATGACTATTTCATAAAAGCAGAACAACTAAGTACACTAAGAATATTTTGCTTTCTCCTGGTTCACTATTTTAATTGTTATTAAAACAAATAAACACACAAAAACCTTACCATATTCAAGATAGTTGGTACAAGAGCTCTCTACCTCTAAGGACCAAAGGAAGGGTGATGTGGGATGAGCACTCACACTCAACAAGTCAGTGTTTCATCCTCACCCCTTTAGAGATCTGAGCCATATCAGAAAGTTATCAATGGAACTAAGCACCACGACCTGTACACCCTCTTCCTCCGTGTACTCAGGAACCAACCTATTGTTTATTTGGGTAGGGCTGGGTCACTGGGTAGTAATAGGTGACCATGAAATAAATATGGATCCCTTTTATAATACTTTATTATTGGAATCTGCATGATATACTGAAATAAGCACTGTTCTGAGCGGAAGCCACAACACTTGGAAACCAAGTTCTGAGCCTTTAGGCAACCATGGGCAAGCATCTTAGAAGGATAAAAAAAAAAACTAGATGGAGTCCATCATTCTCAATGTGAGGTTGGAGGAAAGCTAATTCTAATAAGGAAAGTTTACCAACTACTTCTTATCCTGGAGGTAATATGTTATCCCTTCCCCTTCCTCTGAGGGTGGATTTGTCCCAGGCCTACTGATTAAACAATCACCTCTAGAGTAAACCACCCCACTATGTTCTTTATCCTTCCAGACTGATGTGATGAGGGAAAAAATGGTCAAGAACAAAGAGCCTGGATGATCATTAAGTTTGGAGAGCAGCATGTTAGAATGAAAAGAGTATAGGACTAGTAGTCAGGAAACCTGGATCATGATTCTGGCTTTACTGTGACCAGTTAGTGATTTGGGGAAGTTACTTGTTCTTAATTTATTTTTCTTTAAAATTAGGTGTTTAAACTATGTGTTCTCTAAGATCCTTCTTAATTCTAAAATTTTATGCATTTATTTTTTTAAAAAATAGGGCAGTGTAGATCAAGCATGTCAAACTCGAAGGCTAACACGGGCCAAATAAACTAGGCATGGGGTCCGAGGGCTGCAAGTTTGACATGCTCGGTGTAGATGGATGGGGTAGAAACTGTCCTTGTGGAATGGACAAGCTTAAGCTTTCTCTCCTAGAAACTTCTGTTCTGCTCCAATGTGATTTGGCTGCTCTCTGTGTCTGGGATCTCCCTGTTGCACCATCCCAGGCATTCCCTTCTTCTCTCTTCTATTTCTCTTGTTCCATGTCTTCCTTTTTTGGGTTTACTCCCTTATTTTGACAGACAACAGCTTACAAGTATTGCTTTAGAGAAGTACAAAGCTATTCTGACTCCTGATCCTTTACCTATGACCTGTTTTGGCCCTGGCTCCAAAAAGTTTGAGTTATATTCTCCTTGTTTCCTATGGTATAAGTTTCACAATGGTGTGCCTCTGTATGGGTCTATTTTTAATACTGTGTTTGGTACTTACTGAATCTTTCATCTGAAAACTAATGTCCTTCAGTTCTTAGAAATATTTTTTGTTTTCTCTTTCTGGGACTCATTGAATAAAGTATTTCCTAGACATATTCTTCAGTTGTCTTATTTTTTTTCTCATTTTGCTTTTTCTAAGATTACATTATCTTTATCTTTCTGCTTTATCACATTTTATGCCTGCTTCTTTTTTAATTTCTAAAAGTTCTTTTGTTGTTTTTATCCATGAAACTGGATATTAATTATTTCTCTTAGGTTTTCTTCTCCCTTCATAGACTGGATTCTTCAAGTTGATGTTTTTGTTTGTTGGATTTGGTATTTTTATTTTATGTTGGAGTCTTTCCTCAGAAATGTAGTGCTCCTTGGTTGTCTAAAACGCTGAGTGGAAGCTTTCAGCAAGCAAAGCTTGGAAACCTGGATTTCCTGGGAATCTGGCTCGGGCCACGTCCTTGAAGAATCCTAGGTGTCAGTGTCTTTATTACTTTCCCCTTAGATTAGGCAGAATTCCCAGGGAAGAATCTTCAAATCTTACACTTAGGTGATATACTAGTATATCTGGGAACCAAACAGGTGAAGAGGTTGAAAGGTTCTCACCATTCAGTACCTATGCTTAGCTTATGTTTCCCTCTGTGTTTGGGCTACCCCTGTTTAAGGACCCTTTGTCTTATGCTGTCTAGAAAATGGCCCTAGAATAGTTTGTGCGGTGATGGAGGAAAGCAAGCCATCCAGCTTCACAGAGCAGGGAAGGGAATTGAGTATCTTAACTGCTTCAGATTTTTACCAACCCTGTTTTTAGCCTTATATAATTCCTCAGTTGCAAAGGTACCTCATTAGCAAGTCTTTGGAGGGATTTGGAGTATGTGTCAGGTTACTTCTCAGCTTTCCGCACTGTTAAGGATATATCTTTCTCAAGTATACAGTCTGTCATCACTAATACACCTGCTTTTCAGCAAAATTTTATTACTACTGCTTCCTATCCCTTGTCGATTTATGTCTTTTAAAAAAAAATTCTTTTACTATCATTTCAGTGATGCTACAGTAGGGAACAAATGTAAGCGTGTGTATTCAAGGGCTGTCTTTACCCTGCAGCTGCACGTACTCCTATGTAATGTCTCTCTCACTTGCCCTCTTTGCCTTCTCACTTGCCCCACTACCCCGGCGCATTTGATCTCTTCAGTTACGTTCATTGGATATAATATGGAAAGCTGAAAAATTTTTAAAGTGTTTATTGTTATCTGATGATCTCAAATAAGCTTAACTTTTTGTATTTCTCTCATCCCATGACTAAATCCATATTCAAATAAATTGCATTTTGCTACTGTAGTTCACAAAGCATTTTCACATACATTTTATTTCTAAAAACCTCACTGCAAGGAGAGGCCATTTTATAGATGGGAGAGAAATGCTTAAACAGTAGGTCTGTAATCTCTCTTCTCTTTGAGGGGGAAGAAGAGGATGCCTCCAGGAAAGAAATTTCTTTACACACATGCTAATTACAGACCTCCTGGGAACAAATGAATGGTACTTGCTAGCAAGAGAACCCTTTTAGGAAGAAGGGAGTGACTTAAATAACAGAAACTTATTTTCTCACAGTCTGAAAGCTAGACGTCCATGCTCAAACTGTTGGCAAGAGAATCCTTATTTACAGACTGCTTATAGCAGGATGCACTGGCTTTGCTAGGATTGCTTATGATTAATAATCCTGGAACCTATGGATTTAGAGGGCCTGGTTCCCTGAAAAATGCAGGTGTTTCATGATAAAATGACTTCCTTTTGTGTAAGTACTTAGAAATGTCTTATGTTAATCCCAGCTAGAGTGGGTTCTGAAGTAGAAATAAATACCTGGGAGTTGATTTGGCCAGCCCAGATGGCTGAAAGGTTCTCACCATTCAGTACCTAAGCTTAGCTTATGTTTCCCTCTGTGTTTGGGCTACCTCTGTTTAAGGACCCTTTGTCTTATGCTGTCTAGAAAATGGCCCTAGAATAGTCTGTGAGGTGATGGAGGAAAGCAAGCCACCCAGCTTCACAGAGCAGGGAAGGGAATTGAGTATCTAACTACTTCAGATTTTTACCAACCCTGTTTTTAGCCTTATATAATTCCTCAGTTAGAAAGGTACCTCATTAGCCTCTGCCTCAGGGTCATTTATATACTTCCATCATTAGCAAAGCTTGATGTTGGCTAAAATCACTGATTTGAAAAAGTGCGACTTGATAACCCAATCTTTTGTGCTTTCCACAAGGAACTTGAGGTTCAGAGTGGTTAACTGACTTGCTGAAAGTCACGTGTTAAAAAATGGCCTAATAGGGCCAGAAACCAAGTCTTAAATCAGACGCTCTGTCCCACTGACACATGCTAGGGTGATGGAACAACATCAATAACAATAAAACCTGGGTTCTAGAATCAAAAACAGCCTTGCTTCCTGGTTCTGCAACTGATCAGCTGTTTGATTTTGGGAGAATTATTTACAACATTCAAAGCCTATTTCCTTACCTATGCAGTATCTCTTACATAAAAGAGGAAAGATATCTTAGTGATAAACGCAATAGAACAATAGATAAGCATGACACAATACACACATTTCCAAACATTTGTAAAGAATGAAGAGAAAAAAGGCATCACTTACTTTTTTCTTGTAGTGCCTGCAATTTATTCAGTTCCTCATTCTCTTCATCACTCTCTTCACTGCTTGTGCTGCTCACATCCAAGACTATGTCCCTCTTGGGGTCTACTCGGAGGAAATTGCGGCATTCAAAAGTCAGGTGACCAGCTAAGTAAAATGAAAAAATATGAATGACAAAATGATACGTTACATAATTATTGTTGGTCGTCTCCTGGTAAGCAACAAGCTGCAATTTTAATAATATAATGTTTAGTTTTAACGTTTACTCAGTGGGTGGTGGTTTGCTTTCCCTGAATGCAATGCTAAGAAAAAGAACTTTTCCTTTCTTCATCAGGGCTTCTAATTCAATAAGCATTATTTTTGGGTACTGAATTACTATAGTTTTCCATTTTATGTAATACTAGAGGCCTGATGCACGAAATTCATGCATGGGGGTTGGGGGGTGTGGCCCTCAGCCCGGCTTGAACCCTCTCGCAATCTGGGACCCCTCGGGGGATGTCCAACTGCCACTTTAGGCCCAATCCCTGTAGTCAAACATCTGGCAGTCGGACATCCCTCTCGCAATACGGTACTGCCTGCCCCTAACTGCTCACCTGCTTGCCTGCTTGCTCCTAACCGCTCGCCTGCCTGTCTGCTCAAGTGAGCGTCATAGCGAGTGGCCGTTCAGTCGTTCTGCCTCTGCCGTAACAGTCACTTAGGCTTTTATATATATAGAAGACTAGAGGCCTGGTGCATGGATTCGTGCATATTGAAAGGAAATTAATTAGAAGAAATATTTTAGAGGCCAAGGAGGGGCCATGGGAGATTGGCTGGCCAGGGAGGGACTGCGGGATTGGGTGTGTCTGGCCCTTCTCGCCCAGTCCTGATCAGCCAGACCCCAGCAGCAAACTAAACTACTGGTTGGAACGTCTGCCCCCTGGTGGTCAGTGCGCGTCATAGCGACTGGTCGAACGGTCGAACAACAATTGGACAGTTAGCATATTAGGCTTTTATTATATAGGATTATAAGAAAATACTCTCATATTAGGATTTTATATTTAACTAGTGGCCCAGTGCACGAAATTCGTTCTGGGGGGGGGGGGTGAGGGAGGGAAGAGGGTGTCCCTCAGCCCAGCCTGCATCCTCTCCAATCTGGGACCCCTTGAAGGATGTCCTACTGCCGGTTTAAAGGGATCAGGCCTAAACCAGCAGTCGGACATCCCTCTTGCAATCCAGGACTGCTGGCTCCTAACTGCTCACCTACCTGCATGCCTGATTGCCCCTAACCATTCTGCCTGCCGGCCTGCTCGGCCCCAACTGCCCCCTGCTGCCGGCCTGCTCGCCCCCACCTTCCCTCCCCACTGTCCTGCTCACCCCCAACTGCCCCCCTGCTGGCCTGCTCACTCCAAACTGCCCCCCCCGCTGTCCTGATCACCCCCAACTGACCCCCACTGACGGCCTGCTTGCCCCTAACTGGCCTCCCTGCTGGTCTGCTCATCCCCAACTTCCCCCCCGCCGCCAGCCTGATCACCCCCAACAGCCCCCCACCACCGGCCTGATCACCCACAACTGCCCTCCACTATTGGCCTCTAACCACCTCTACCTCGGCCCTGCCACCATGGCTTTGTCCAGAAGAACGTCCGGAAGGCCTCCTGGAAGGTCTCCCAGTCTAATTAGCATATTACCCTTTTATTAGTATAGAGGCCTGGTGCACAGGTGGGGGCCAGCTGGTTTGCCCTGAAGGGTGTCCTGGATCAGGGTGGGGTCCCGCTGGGGTGCCTGGCCAGCCTGGGTGAGGGGTTGAGGGCCATTTTCAAGCTGGCCACACCCCCTTCAGGGTGGGGGTCTCCACTGGGGTGCCTGGTCAGCCTGGGTGAGGGGCTGATGGCTGTTTGCAGGCTGGTCAAGCCCCCCAGTGAGGACCCTCACCCCATGGGGGTGTGGCCAGCCTGGGTGAGGGGCTGAGGGCCGTTTTCAGGCTGGCCACACCCCCTTCAGGGTGGGGGTCCCCACTGGGGTGCCTGGCCGGCCTGGGTGAGGGGCAGATGGCTGTTTTCAGGCTGGCCACGCCCCCCAGCGACCCAAACTCCCAGCCTCTCCTTTTTTTCTGGGATTTATCTTCTATAATTGAAACTTTGTAGCCTTGAGCGGAGCTGAGGGCCAGCCAGGGCAGGTGGGAAGCCTGGCTTCCTCCATTGCCAGGGGCAACCCAAGCCTCCTGTTCACTCTAGCTCCGTGGCCACCACCATCTTAGTTGGGTTGATTTGCATACTCTCTCCTGATTGGCTGGTGGGCGTGGCTTGTGGGTGTAGCAGAGTGGCAGAGTGATGGAGTGATGGTTAATTTGCATCTTTCTCTTTTATTAGTGTAGATGAAGTCTGTATGATATCAGTTCTTTGGTATTTGCTGAGATTTCTTTTGTGTTCTTCCATATTGTATATTTATATATTTTAAAAGAATATACATCAGTATTTGTTGAATAGGGTTCTATGTCTATTTTATTGTTCAAATCTTCTCTACCTTATATTTTTATCTAATAATTTCTGAAAGTAGTTAAATTTTTAAGTACCTTTATCATAGATTTATTCATTTCTCCTTGTGAAAGCTTTTGCTACACATATTTTGAGATTATATTAGTAAGCAAATCTAAGAACATTATTAATTTATCTTCTTGGTTGACTGTTCTTGAATCTCTCTTTATCCCTAGTACTACTCTTGCTTCAAAAGTCTGATATTAAAATTGCTCCACTAGTGTTTTTTGGTTATTATTAGTTGAATCATATGAAGTAACAATTTTTATGAGTGAAACAGCTGAATCTCAACAAGATTCAACCTAATATCTGTTTGCCTCACCCCTTTATTTTAAAATTTTCTAAGCAGTTTTTAGTTTTCTACATAGTTTTAATAATGACATGTAAACAGAATTAAGTTTTTTAATGTAATGTGATACCAGTCTAATATTTAATGTTAATTTTTTTAGCTTGGGAAAACAGTTTCTGCCTCACTGGGTGGTACCCTCATAAAGGGGATCAATGCCTTCCTTATAAAAGGGACTCCAAAGTGATCTTTGGCCCCATCCCCTACGTGAGGATAAAACAAAAAGCTGGTGACTTGGAGAGGGCCTTCACCAGACCATGTTGGCACCCTGATCTTAGACTTGCAGCCTCTGATCTGTGAGCGATACATTTATTTGTTTATAAGCTGCCTGGCCTATGATATCCTATATAATAAAAGCCTAATATGCTAAGTGTCAGATTGTCCGGTTGTCTGTTCAACCAATCAAAGCTAATATGCTAATGATATGCTAAGACCACTGAACCGTTCACTATGACATGTACTGACCACCAGGGGGCAGACAATCAGTCGACCAGTTGCTATGACATGCATTGACCACCAGGGGGCAGATGCTTCGACCGGTAGGTTAGCTTGCTGCTGGGGTCTGGCCAATCAGGACTGAGTGAGATGGCCAGACATGCCCTGGAGCCCTCCTGCGGTCCCTCTCCTGGCCTGGCGATTGTGCACCAGTGGGGTCCCTTGGCCTGGCCTGTGCCCTCTCGCAATCTGGGACCCTTCAGGGGATGTCGGAGAGCCACTTTCAGCCCGGAGGTGGAACAACTGGTTGCTATGATGCACACTGACCACTAGAGGGCAGACACTCAACCCAGGAGCTGCCCCCTGGTGTAAGTGTGCTCCCACAGGGGGAGCGCCACTCAGCCAGAAGCCGGGCTCACAGCGGGCTAACGCAGCGGCAGTGGTGGGAGCCTCTCCTGCCTTTGCGGGCCTAAGCTGTCAGTTGGACATCCCCCAAGGGCTTCTGGACTGCAAGAGGGCGCAAGCCGGGCTGAGGGACACCCCCAACTGCACGAATTTCGTGCATCGGGCCTCTAGTTCTGTATAACAGCCCACATGCACTGAGGCAGTTCCATTCTTTCCTCATGTAAATTTCTGGAAAACAGAGACATCACAGACTCTCTGCACTTTTCTTATTCCTCACCATTCAGGCCTGAATCTACATAGTTTGTTCTATAACCTACAAATCAACTTAAGCTAATCTTACTAAGGTCAGCAAGCATCCTACCTGGCAAATCCAATGAACATTTCAAAGTCCACTTCTTACTGATCTTATCTGTCACACCTGACAATGGCCCTCAATTTCAAAAAGTTCTGTGCTTCTTTGACTGATGTGCAGCTGCCCTCTCCTGTTCCCCCCTGGCATGTACTTCCCTTGTCACCTTTTCCTCAGCTCATGCCTATACATTTTACTCCATATGCTGATATTGTACTCCTCTAAGAGTTGGTTACTGACTATTTCAAAATGTGCTTATATAACATCATGCAGGCCAAAAAATGTAAGTGTGGAAAAGATAATGAGTGGTAATTTCTATGAAACAAAGCTGTACTTTTTCTTTAGAAAGAGTTGATTTAGATGAATTGCTTTTAAAAAGCAGTTTTCAAAATAGGCTTTGGCAAGAAGATTGTACAAGATGGGGACTGGGGGGAACTAAAACAATGAAAAAATGGCCTATTTCTCAAAGGGGAAACCATTAGTATTTTAGGCCAAGCAATTCTTCATTGTTTAGGAATGTCCTACACATTGCAGGTCGTTTATAGTCCCTGGGCCTTACATACTAAAAATGTCATATTGCTCCCCACCCCTATGGACAACAACAACAAAAACACCAAAAACTCCAGATTTCTGGAAGGCTTTATCACCCCGAGTTGAGAACTAATGATAGAAGAATTTTGCACTTAGATTTCTTTACAAGTATATTAACTGTTTCTCTACCTTTGAAGAAACAACAAAGTGGAAAATGCATTTCAGACATGATTTGCACTCAAAAGACTGTGTAACACCAATTAGCAGATCCACAGACAAAAGGTCATGACTATATATCAGTAGATTAGGATTTTAAATTACATAAAATGTTAGGGTATTCAGGTATGTTTTTATTTCTTGCTTCTGTAATCAAATGCTCAGCTAGAGTTTACAAGAACACTAAGCTGTTGTCCATAGAATACATGTCTCAAATAATGTCTCCCATGGACAAAGGCTAGTGTCCTTGTAGCTTTTCAATTTTCAGAAATTGCCAATTAAAAACAAATAAATAAAACTCATTATAGAAATAACCATTCTTCTAATGTTACTGAAGAAATTCTGCCATGAAAAAAATGAGATCCATGTTATTTAGTAGCACATTCATCCTTAACTTGAAAGTTTTAAAAACAGTATTAACTACTATTGAAGTATTGACAAAATATTTTTCTATTTTTCTTTTTCATTGAACTTAGAGACAGAGAGAAGAAGGGAGGGAGGGAGAGAGTGAAGGGAGAAAGAGGAACCTGGGGGGGGCGGGGAAGAGAGCGAGAGAAAAAAAACACAATTTGTTGTCCCACTCATTTATGCATTCATTGGTTGCTTCTTGTATGTGCCCTAACTGGGTATCAAACCTTCAACCATGGTGTGTATGGGGATGACACTCCAACCAACTGAGCTACCCAGATAGGGCTGAAATTTTTTTAAATCAAGTATTAACATTTTTAAAAATTATAAAATCAAACCCCTGTTTTCACAACAATAAAAAGAGATAATACTCTTTTGTAACTGACTGATGAAAATCTACATTTTCAGCCATTAAAAACATTCAAAGGGTTTTGTTGACTTTTCTCTTACCTCCATAAGCAATACAAAGGTTCTGGCCTCCATGTAACAGAAAATTTTAAAAATTTAGTTTCTACCGGAAAGATCTGTAAATGAAGAAGACCCTCAACCTCTAACAGCTGTAAGATGTAAGTTTAACCCAGAGGAAAATATTACTAAACTTTTCCACAGCAGACAAATTAGAAGTTGTTTAATAACTTAATTACTAAAATCAACGATCTGAAAAATCAAGCAGAACTCAACTTGGAATACTGTCAACACTATTTCCTTACTAGGCTTCTCTAAAAAAATTCTGCCCTGGCCAGTGTGGTTCAGTTGATTGGGCATCATCCCATGCACCAAGAGGGTGCTGGTTGGATTCCCAGTAAGGGCGCATGCCCGGGTTGTGTGCTCAATCCCCGGTAGGGGGGCATGCAGGAAGCAGAAGATCAATGTTTCTCATCTCTCTCTTTCTCCCTCTCCCTCTGTCTCTGAAAATCAATAAAAATATTTTTAACAATGTCTAATTACTACAGATGCTTCTGTTAATGTCTAAAATAAAATAGCAATGGGGAAACTAGATCAACAAATATTCTATTTCAAAAAAAAATTTTTTTAATTGTTTATGTCTAAAATAAAATAGCAAGAAGTCCAAGTAGATAAACTGATAGTAGACAGACTGGCTATCCTGGATTTAAAGTAAATACAATAAATATAGTAGGTTCTTAAGTCTTGAATAAAGAAATGAGACATGGAAATTAGCAAGGATTGGAAGAAAGTAAACAAAATAGAAATAAATATAAACAAATTTAAACAGAAAAGATTTCATTGCACTCATTCTTTACATGCAAGTACATTCTTCAGAAGTTTTTATTTATATGAAGAATACGTGTACTTAAGTACCCACTTTATTAATTGAGCAAGCTTCCCTTGATCCAGGTTCCAACCTGTGATTGGAGGCATGTGAGTTGGTTCTCCCAGTGTGCTTTTATTCTAAATCCTTCTGATGAGTAATATTAATGACTAGATTGCTTTATTATCATGTGTTCTTGCATGGAAATCTTTTTTTAAATCACCTTTATTTTGTTAAAAAATAATTTATGACATTAACAACAATGTAGGCTCATTTGCATGGTCTCCAAACAACTTAAAAAACAGAAAATATTATTATAGCTTTATCAAAGCCTTAGGGATTGCTACATTTAACTAGACAAATAGCTGCTTATAGTCCATAATGATAAATTCTGAGTATATAATTACACTTGTTAAAGTTTACTTTTCCATTCCATTAATCATAATAGAGATTAATGGACCATTTAAACCAAATTTTGTCAGTGAGTAGAAATTCTGGGTCCAATTTCACCTTTATAAAGAAGAGTTAATTCAACAAATAGGAAATGTTTCATAAATAGTTTTCAGTTAGTGCTGATCGATACATTTCTAAATCATCTGCATATGTGCACTAAATAACAGGACTAAAGGACTGTCTATGCGCAGGGCCCTGAAATCTGGATGCTAAGTCACACTGCCCAATGAAATGATTCACCATACACACAGTGTTATTTTTTAATGTACTTACGGTAGCCACATTTTTTACACCCGGCTCGAACACTATCCTTGTTGCAACCTAAAATACAAATGGATAACATTTTAGGAGACATATGAAGTAAAAACATAAAAATTTTATCACTTAAGAAACCTAAAAAACCACTTGAAGAATTTATTTCGAAAAAAAAATCATCTCAACATAGCTTAGTAACATTACTCCATTACTATGTTTATTAGAAATTATTGAAAAAGTCAGTTTACTCAAGTTATTTCTTTTTTGTTTTTTTAAATACTTCAAAATTTTATTTATTTAAATCATTTAAAAAAATTTCCATTATAGTTGACATACAAGATTACATTAATTTCTGACAGGTCCTTTTTCATGTCTTTGACATTCTTTTTTTATTTTATTTTATTTTATTGCTTAAAGTATTACAAAGAGTAGTACATAATGTTCCTTTTTTTCCCCATTGACCTTCCCCTGGCCTCCCCTACCCCCCAGTATCTTGCGTCCATTGGTTATGCTTATATGCATGCATACAAGTCCTTCGGTTATCAAATTATTTCTTTTAACAAATACTTTAAGAACATATTTTTCTCTAATTCAACAAATGCAGTATCAACATATGCTGCACTGTGTGTTGTGAGCAGTGCCCATACACATCAGGTGTGACAACTTTCCATCTGATTTCATATCATGACCTTCCTACCATTACTTCAAAACAACGCACAAGCTGCAAACTTCAGGTCTTTTAAAGGTATACTGCCCTATTTATTGCAGTTTTTATGTATCTTTAACCAATTAACGTGTGCAAAATTATAATACTATTTTCAGGTTCCTATTATTTTTTTATTTATTTATCACAGATGAAGTTTTTGAGTATTGTGCCCAATCTCATTTTTCTCTCATAAATGTTATGGTTCTTATTGCATAGGGTAGGAACACATATGCTGTGCTTTTAGCAGAACTGTGGAATAAAATTGGATTAATAATAATAAAATCTGAGGCTCTTTCAATATGAAATAATTGCACATTGAAAAAAAAGCTCAGAGAATCCAGGTCAATATTAAGTCTGTTTCCATAGAAACTATAGATGCTGAATAATACTGAATAAAACTGTGCTAAATGCACATTACCCTTCCTACAAAAAACTAAAAATGTTGTAATGACAGATCCGAAATGACCTCTCTGAGGCTGTATTAGAAATTAAAAAAAAAGAAGAAATTAACTCATTTATGACTTAAAGACATTGATAAAACTCCTATCATCCAAGTATCTCATATTTGTCGAATAAATGAAATATAAAACTTTTTCAGAGGTCATTTTTAACAAAGTTATAAATTTTACAAGAAAGGAAAATATAACAAGAACTCTAAATAAAGTAACTCCAGAGCTCTATTTCCTCATCAAATGTTGGTAATTAAGATTTTAACCTTCATTTGTCTATAATTTGCATGAATGCCTGGTCAATGAAATGCTTCTACCTGAAACTTAGAATCTGATGTAACTGATACAATACATGTGAGACAAATAAAGTGGGGGCAGCTCCTGATGGCAGTGATGATACCGGCTGCAGCAGCCCTAACCTGGTATAGGCCTGTGAAAGATCCTGGCTCTGGGCTCCCTTGGTCTTATGAATTTTCTGAGCCTTATTTTCCAGCCTTTGTGTACACCCTGTGAGCCATACAATTGTACATACTCGAAATCCACCTCAAATTGAGTAGCAAGACTACAGTGTGAGGCCCCTACTGCTCAAAATGTTCCTTTATAATCATGACCCATAATCCCCAAAAAGCCTTTGAATAAAAACTTATAAATATGACTGCATAAAAAATCTGAATGACAAAGACCACCAAAAATAAACTCAAAAGACACATGAACACTTGTAAAATATATTTGCAAATCATAGAGTCAACAAAGGATATTATCCCTACTATATAAACCCCATCAAATCATTAAGAAAAAGACCAATAACCAAAAGGGGAAAAATGGACAAAGAAACTGAACAGAAAGTTCACAGAAAAGGAAACAGAAACAACTTTGAAATATATGAAGAGATGCTCAGCCTTACTCTTACCAAGTAAAGTGTACATTAAAGTCTATACTGGGATTCTATTTTCACTTACCAGAATAGGAAAGATGGAAAGGGTGGAAGAGGGTTTGGGGGAACATACTCCTGAACACTGTTGGTAGGAGAGTAAATCAGTACCATCTCTATGGAAAGCAAGCTATCAAAATCTACCAGAACCCTCCACGTGCATACTCCTGTAACCCAGCACTTCCACATCCAGAATTCATCCTCTCAATTTATGTGCACAAACGCTATACTGACTTATGTATAAAGTTATTCACCGCAGCATTTTTTGTAATAGTAAAAGAGTAGAAATAATTTAGACAAATTATGGTATGAAAGAATAAGGATGGTTTTTAATAATGGGCAATAATTTCTAAAATATAAAGAGAAAAGAGCAATATGTAGAACAGTGCTTATAGTATATTGCCATTTATACAAAAGAACGAAGATTTAATATATATAATATAGATTATATAAGATTATATTTAAGGATAAAGTTATTAAAAATCTTTATAAGGATATACACTGGTTACCTGAAGAACGGAGAACTGGGTCGTGGGGAAGAAAGGGTGGGAGACATGTCACTATACACCTTTTGGATCCTTTAAAATTTGAAACGTGTGAATAAACTGCCTTCTCAAAAACCCAACCAAAAAACCTCACTCAAACCAAATCCCTACACAAAAAGAGCTGATGTGACCAAAGGCAATGATTGCAGCTGTAAATATCTCAAAGAAGTTACTCTGTAGATTTCCAATACAATTTTATTAACTGATGGTTTCAGAAACAAATTTTAGAGGTTTTTATTTCTTGTATTTGTTAAGTGTAGAAAAGGCTTACTTTGAATCTAGAATTCTATTAAACAACTTGAGTGGTAGGGAAGGACACAGGTAATGAGGATAGTCCTTTACCTCCCAGTAACTTAAAGGGAAAAGATCAGTTTCTCGAAATTCTGGACCATGCCAGAAAATTTTGTATACAACTCAGTACTTAGCATAGTGTAGAGTCCTTATGAAGTCTTCAACAAATATTTGAGGTTTGAGGTAAAATTAAGAAAATACTTCAGCACTGGGGAACAGGTAACTTCTGTAGCTCCCAGTTGCCATGAAATGAGATAGTGTCTGCAGTGTCACTGGCCTATCTGAGGCATGATAGGCAGAGGAAAAGGAATAAAAGAAAGAAGGATAATAGAAATCAAAATAACAATTGCTGGGCAGGGGAAGGGGAAAAGACAGAGGTAGGTACATGGAACTTTCTGAGGTGATAGAAATAGTCAAAATCTTGATCTGGGTGATAGGTAGAAAAAAAATACATACATATATATATATATATATATATATATATATCATTCTTCAAGCTGTACATTTGTGATTTGTGTGTTTAAACATGCAAATTATACCTTAGTAAAGTAGTTAGCATAAAAGGGAAAAATAAGTTGGGCAAAGAAGGAAGAAGAGAAAAGATAAAGGTTAGAGAAGACCAAGAAGTAGGAACAATGAGTAAAGGAATGAGCAAATGTGAGAGAAAGGGATGGAATACCCCTCACAGTTGCCTCAGGTTGTTCAGTGGCTCCCAAAGGTATGGCAAGCCATCACATTGACCTAAATTTATTTTCTTGAAATTTCCTATCATGTTTCCAAAGTCAACAATTTAGTCATTGGAAAGTTAACAGTGACACTTGAAACTGAATATTTCTCTCTTACTATTTCTGACTTTGGGAAAGGCTGTCAAAGTTTTCTTTATGTGAAAATATCTTCTGTAATCATTTAAATTTAAAATTAAACAGCTTACGTAATTAAGTTTTCTTTCTATTAAGCAGTTGGTAATTGCAATCACCTCTGTCCATTCTTTTCCTTTGTAATTTGATTCGATTCGATTCCTTTTCTGTTTGTTACACTTGAAGTTTTATACTTGGCTACTCCATTATAGTTTCAGTTATCATAATTTAGGGACCCTTAAAGAAAATTAAATGTATAAAAATGCTTTCATTCACTTGCCTCAGAAAATACAAATAACTTGTGAAGAAAAAAAGCTATAGGTAGTACCACTTTAGACTAAGAAGAGACATGGAGATGTTTAATTATTATCTAATGAAACAGAATCAAGATTGCTGTCAAGTTTAGTCTGTTTATTTGAGTACTAGATTCCACTCAGCAGCAATTCTAATGATTAACCCACTAAACATTATTTACCTACTATGGATAGAATCTGAAATGATGTTAGAGAAACCATAAAGATGAGTAAAGTTCCTACAGTAAAGGAAACGATAATATACTAGGTTAGGATAATGTACCCACAGCTGTAATACATGCTAGAATGTGCCAGTATAAGACACATAGTTCTATTAACAAGCAGGAAGACTGGCAGGCAAGACTCTCAGCTGAGGGATCAGCAAAGTTTCCCACAGGTAGATAGCACAGTAGAGGAGGAACAGTGAGAACAAAGTTTGTACGTAGAAAAGCACAGGAGAGGTTCTGGGCATAGCTGGCCATGTCTCTAGACTGTAGAATGCGCGAGAGGAGAGATGGGAGGACAGGGTAGCAGGAGCAAGCACTTCATTCTCCCAGAGATGGGAGCTGTGGCATTACAAGAATTTATTACAACTCCTTCATTACAGAGACAGGGAAATGGAGCCTCAAAAAGGGTAAGTCACATGAAGAGACACTAAATTCACAAGTACAAGTCAATGACAGGATCAGATATATGATTTAGGAAAATTATTTCAGCAGCAATGTGCAGCATAGACTAGAGATAAAAGAAATGACTTCTGAGTGAGAAGACTGGATGTAGTGTGATTCAGAATTTTTCTATGACTAAGATGCTATAGTAATGTGTTTTAAGAATTTTACTCACTTTGATATATCAGATGTAACGTTAATTTGGCTACAGAAAACCCTACCTTGGCTATATAGATTTCTCTGAAGAAGAGAAACAAATAGAGTTTTTGTGCCAACCACATCAGTAACATAGATGCCAATTGTGCCAGGTCAACTCTTCATGGGGAATGGAGACTCATTAAAATGAGTGTCAGAACTAACTTAAGCAGTTTCTAGAAGAAAGTAAACTTCACTGAAACCTGTGTTTAAATGTAATTTCTTTAATAACAACTAAGAGCCTATGATTTCCCTTGCCAAGAGAGTACGTACTTCATTGTTAGTGACATAATGGTGTAAGCTTATACACAATGCTGTGGAAAAACAGCTGAAGCAGGTGACCATAAAATAGGCGAGGCTGATTTTCATTGTACTTTATAGCAGCCTCATTACTTTATAGTCATGCCTTGTAATAATCACTAGTACAACCACCCAGGACATGCCATGCTGAATCCATATGATCATTACACCTACAAATAAAAGGCATAACAATAACTTGTCCTTCTTGATGATTATCTCAAAATGTTTCTGATGGAGCCCTATTTCCGTTAATACACTATCTGGATCAATCAAGAAATTATCTTACCACTTTCTGTGTCTATATTTTCTAATGGCACTTGCATTATATTTCTGCAGTGCTATTATACTTTTTTTTTTTTTTTGCTGGGTTTAAACCAAGCATGTCAAGCTCAAAGGCTAACACGGGCCAAATAAACAAGGTTTAAGTGTATGTGGCTGCAAAAAAACAAAAGCTTCAATTTTCATAGAAATGTAGGTTTATGTCCATAGAGACATGCTGAATACAAAGGGCTGAAATAAATGAGTAATAGATATGTTAACTTTCTTTCAATTCAAAATAATAGGTTAAAGTGTAACAATTACTTCTAACTGGTGACTTTGCCTTTAAAATAGCTCCCCTCCAATCCAATATGCAGTCAGAATGATCTTTCCAAAATGTGCATCTGTTTTAAAACCTTTAAAAGGCTTCCTATCCTCCTCAGGAAAACATTCAAACTCTGTCACGCTTACAAGATCCTTTAAGAGCTGGAAACTACCTTGTAATTTATACGGTAACATGACAAAATGTATAAAGCACACAGGGTCTCAGGAGCAGAATGACCTGTCACTTACTAGCTGCCTCATAATAGGCAAGTTACTTGATTTCTCTGTCCCTCAGTGTCCTCGTATGTAAAGTGGAAATGCTAATACCTGTTTCACGGTGTGACTGTTAAAACGAGATAAAACCCGACATGTGCCACAGTGTCTGACACTTAGCAAAAGCGTCATGAATACTGGCTGCTGTTGTCTCTCTAGCTAATTTCTCACTTCTCTTCCATTTATATTGAGTCCCATCCACAGTGAACATCTCATTTCCTCCTCTCACACATTTGCAACTGCCCCTCCCACCACTCCACCCCGCCTGCAACGCTCCAGGTCTCATCCCAGGTGCCACTTCTCTGGAGA